AGCATCGACTCCTGGCGTTCCCTTCCCTCGCACTCCTGCCTTTTGGGAATTGGCGCTCGCTCGCGGGCCGTTTTGGTTTCGCATCCCAGCAACGCCTCTCTCGTTACAATTTTGTCTCTGAAAAACGTTTTCGTGGCGAGTGTTTGGTGGCAGATGTCGAAGGACAAAGCCTGGGTGGCTGAAGGAGTGAGGAATGCATGTCAGTCCAGAGACACTTGGGATTTGGAGTTACCATAAACTTTCTTCTGAGTCACTCGTGCGCTGATGTGTCGTGACAGCAGCTCTGCTGTGCCGTGTGCCCTTGAGACCTGCTGCTGATTTTGCTGTAAATTGAGTGTTTCGTCGGTTCCCCATCCCCCTGAGAAGGGACTGTGTTGTTTTATCAGCTGGCGTCGATTGTTGAAGGAGTAAAGGTGTAATTCGTGTTTCTTAGTGGCCCTCTGTTAGGAGAATATTTTCTGGAGACCTTGATGGACTAAAACCTGTGATCCTTGGCTTGTTCTTCCCATCTTGGCTTCTTATTAAAGCCTTTCAACGTTTGGGTGCTTTTTTCCTTGGCTGAAGGAAAACGTCTTGAAGAGACATAGCCAGCAGATGCCAAGCCTGTTTTTTTCTGATTGCTTCAAGAAATGGAATTGCTTATGTAAAGTAAAAAGGAAAATATCTGTCTAATCTGTAACCAGAAAAGTGGACCCTGATATGCAAGAGTTTAAGGCAAAGCTTGTCTAGATGTTTCCATGTTGACTGCTGAGAATCACATTAAGTTAATTAAAACCAAAGTATCAAGTACTAAGACAATTGTTTTTTTCTTCAGGTTAAAAGTTGAGGAAGCCAAAGAAGTTCAGAGCCTCAGGAAGCGACCCAATGGGGTGAGGTAAGGGAAGCTGCACCAAGGATGTGAAGTTGTGTTTTGTCTGGTGGTGTAATGTAGCAGTAAATTTCTCTCTTGCCACGTGCCTTCTTTCAGTAGACATCGTTACATGTCGGATAGTGCCAAAACCATGGTCTTGAGGGAGGAGGTTCAACATTAAAGTCTGAGGATGGGAAAGAGGGGGAGTTAGGTACAGGCATCCAGTGTCAGTTTACAGTGGGCAAAGTCTCTTCTGTATCCCAGTCGTGGAGAAAAATATTAAGATTGGGATTTACCATGAAATATATTTTCACCAGATTACTTTTGTACTGCACACGTGGTTTAAATTGGACAAATTAAATTTCACACCTCCTCCAGCCTCATTTCCTCTTACCCCTCTCATCTAGTGCTGCTGATTAGCTGATGAGCTTGTTGAAATGTGTACCAGCAATGAACTGCGTTCCTTGTTTTAATGACGTGCTGTAAGGCACTAAAATCGGCCTTAACTTCTGATCTCCTCAAAACAGTAACAGTTCCTCTATCCGTGTGGAGAGATTAGGAAAATGGACAAGTCAGTGTTAATAAGACCATCTGCTAAATGTGTGGTGCGGTCAACACGCTGGAGGGAAGGGATGCCATCCAGAGGGACCTTGACAGGCTGGAGAGATGGGCCTGTGTGAACCTCAGGAAGTTCAACAAGGCCAAGTGCAAGATCCTGCACATGAGTCGGGGCAATCCCAAGCCCAAGTACAGGCTGGGCGGAGAATGGATTGAGAAAAGCCCTGAGGAGAAGGACTTGCAGGTGTTGGTTGAACAGAAGCTCACCATGAGCCGGCAATGCGCACTGGCAGCCCAGAAAGCCAACTGTGTCCTGGGCTGCATCAAAAGAAGCATGGCCAGCAGGTCAGGGGAGGTGATTCTGCCCTGCTACTCTGCTTTTGTGAGACCACCGCTGTAGTATTGTGCTCAGGTCTGGGGACCCCAAAGTAAGTAGGACATGGAGCTGCTGGAGCGGGTCCAGAGGAGGCCATGAAGATGATCCGAGGGCTGGAGCACCTCTGCTATGGAGACAGGCTGAGAGAGTTGGAGCTGTTCAGCCTGGAGAAGAGAAGGCTCCGGGGAGACCTTAGAGCAGCCTTCCAGTACTTAAAGGAAAGGGGTCCTACAAGAAAGCTGGAGAGGGATTTTTTTACAAGGGCATGTAGTGATAAGACAAGGGGCAATGACTTTAAACTGAAAGAGGGGAGATTTTGATTAGCTATAAGAAAGAAATTCTTCACTGTGAGGATGGTGAGGCACTGGAACAGGTTGTCCAGAGAAGTTGTGGCTGTCCCATCCCTGGAAGTGTTCAAGGCCAGGTTGGATGAGGCTTTGAGCAACCTGGTGTAATGGAAGGTGTCCCTGCCTATGGCAGGGGGGTTGGAACTAGATAATAAGGTCTCTTCCAGTGCAAACCATTCTATGATTTAGAGAAGGATAAAGAAATGCAGTATTGTTGGTCATATGTTTCCTGCCACTGAATTTTATTTACTTTATCTGCTTGACTAGCGCTGTAGCTCTGCTTGTGGGAGAGAAGTTGCAAGAAGAAGCAACACTTGTGGTAAGTGCTGAACACTTTGATCACCTTGGCGCTGAGACATAATGATGTGAAAACAGTGGCCTGGTCCAGCCGATGGCTGCACAAGTCTGGCCTGGGGTAGGTCTGGTGTCGCAGATGAATATGTCAATGTTCTCTGTGGTTTTAATCCAGATTTTGAAGACTAGAGTTAAACTAGAGGGTTTGTCATTAAAAAACTTAAATGACAAACTTTAGGGTTTGTCATTATTTCTTGTTTTACAGGATGACCCGTTTAAGATAAAATCTGGGGGAATGGTGGACATGAAGAAGCTGAAAGAAAGAGGCAAGGACAGGTGGGTGTGTATGAGCTCTGAAGATCTTTTGCTGGACTAGCATTAAATCACAGCTGGGAATGAAGTAACCAGACATTGTGTTGCTTTGAAGAGTTAGTTGCTAGTTATTTGCTTTGAGGGGTAGTGCACTTTGGCTAGTTACTGTTACCCAAACTTGTTAAATTAGGTTAAAAAAAAAAAAAACAAACCAACAAACCTCAAAGTGTAAACATTGTGTTTTCCGTTTAGGATTAACGATGAGGAAGATCTAAACTTGGGGACCTCCTTCTCAGCTGAAACCAACAGGCGGGATGAAGATGCTGACATGTAAGTTGTGCTGTGTTGTCTGGGATGTTGAATGCTGGATCGAGAGTCCCCTCCCAATTTATTTGTGTCTGTCTTGGATACTGAGTCCTCCCAGAATGTCTTCCCAGTTCTCACCGAAACTTTCACTTGCCCTTTCACCTTCTGGCTGTCAGACTAGAGGAGGCTTTTTCATGGACAAAGGTGGGAGGTGCCAACCAACTAGCTTGACACGAAATACCCGTTAGAGCCTTTCTTGCTGTTTGTGAAAGAGCTTGGAGGATCCGATCATTTCTTGGACAATTGCTTCTTGCAATTGATGTTAGCTGAGTTGTTTTGGAGAGATCATTCACCCCTCTCTCCTAGCTATTGGGACAGTGCTGCAGCTGTGCTCAGCAGTGCTGGGACAGAATACAGAAAACAGAATTAAATACTGTGTGTCCCTCGTGTGCTGTTGTTTAGGATGAAGTACATTGAGACTGAGCTGAAAAAGAGAAAGGGAATTGTGGAGAATGAGGAGCAGAAGGTGAAACTTAAGAATGCCGAAGACTCTCTGTACGAGCTGCCAGAGAACATCCGTGTCTCCTCTGCCAAGAAAACTGAGGAGATGCTGTCCAACCAGATGCTGAGCGGCCTTCCTGAAGTGGACCTGGGAATTGAGTAAGTTGTTGGTTATGGCCTGGATTGCCAGGATGAGCACGTGTTGATGGGCAGAGCAATGGTATGGCTGGATCCCACAGCCCCAGTTCGGCTCTGTGATGAGACTGAGCCTTGTTCGGGATTAGTGCGGTATCTAGCACAGATGTTCCGCACAGTGATGGGGCTCCAGTGCAGCTCCATCATGTAACTTTTGGGAAAAGGCTCTTAATTTTTGTGACTTGAATCTAGTGGCTTTCTGGAGGATCAGTTTATGCCCTGCACTGAAAGAGGGTGCCCTAAAGATGCGAGCTTCCCTTTGCCTTTGAAACAAAGCACCTGTTTCTATATGTCGTGGTTTTAGGCTGATCCAGCAACTAAAACTCACACAGTCTCTCCTTCTCCAGTAAAGTAGAGAGGAGAGAAAAAAAAAACAAAGGGACTGAGGGTTGAGACAAGAACAGAGGGAGCACCCACCAACCATGGTCCTGGGCAAAACAGGCAGAGCTTTTCTCAAAGCAAAACAGTTTATTAATGATTACTTAGAAGGACAAAGGGAAACAAAAACCGATTACTTGAGAGGACAGAAAGAAACAAAACCAGATCTTAAAACCGACACCTTCCCCCCCCCCCTTCCTTTTCCTCCCGGCCCTACCTCCTCCCCCCACCAGCCCAGGGGGCCGGGACTGGGGGAGGGCAGGGCAGTTACTTC